AGATAACTGCTGCCGCCATCTATGGCCCAGCACCGAAAGATCGCGTAATTTCGTTGTCTGCCGCACCGCAGCAACGGTTGCTCCCAAAGCAGCTCATTTCAATCAGATTTTCGGCCATTAGTCATGATTATTAATTCATTCTCGGGAAGGATCTCGCATTTTCTTCTTCTCTTTCACTGTTGGAAACGATACGAAACGTGAACGATTCCCTGAAAAGGGCCCGGCGATGGTCGGAGAGAAAATGCCCATAAATAAGCCGATTATAATATTTAAACAGGCTCCTCTCTTTTGAACTGGTGGCCATGGCTCCACTTACGCACAATTCAACCCGCCCCTCCTGGGAGAGGAAGATATTGGAGATTCTTTTTTCCTGGGAAACAAAAAGAAAAACGGAAATGCCACACCGACGATGCGGGATGACGGTGGGCAAATTAGGATCATGTTGTCTTTTTGCTGCTCTTAGCAGCCGAGATTGATACTGCCGGGGAAATGTTTTCCACTTCCTGGGAAAGCTTATTCATCAGAGACGAAAAAGCAGCAGCACTTTAATCGGTTGATATTTGGTTCAATTAGGGGCTGTCTGATGGATCATTGAGCGCGGGTCTTTGAAATTTTAAAAAAAGGTTGTGAAGAAGACAGTTTCGAGGAAATTTAATACAATTTATAGGGATCAAAGAGCATTTCCAAATCAACTGAAAAAACGGATCAGATACAAACTTCTGCGTTTTTCAATTTAATTTTGCATAATTGTCAAATTTGTGTCCAGTGTTGGGAAAATATCAAAAAACCAAATCGCAGCTCAAGGAATATCAAGCTAACGAAACTCACCAGCTGCAAATCTTACCAAACTGTGGTGAGATTGAGTTAGATGATTTTTGCCCCGAATGCATCCGAAACAGCCATCACGTAGTCGCTTCGTGTCTGCCATCGGTGAAGAGAAAAAGAAAAAGAGATAGCACCTCTCTCTTTCTAAGAAAACGAGCAGCAACGGAATCATTTTTGCGTCGATTCAACTCTCAGCTTCAACTTTACACGTTGTGATAAATATATCAAGCATGATATTTTGCTCCAATATCACGAGAGATATTGAGAGCGTATGAGAGCAGAAACATATCAATTTGCTAATGATTATGCCATCACTGTTTGTGTCTGAATTTGACCATTATGACTCCAGTCTCATTTTGCAGAAAATAATTCTCGAATAAATCTGTTAAATTTTGTCAAATTTAAAGTATTAAATTTGAGAATTTTACAAGGAGTAATCAACTCTGCACATTGTGCCGTAACACATAGTGGCACACTGCTCGGCGCGTCATGGCACACGATGACAAGTATGACACAAAAAATAATATAAAATGGCATCACTGTTTTGTGTTGACATTTTGCCAATCGTTGATTAGGTTTACTTCTTCGTTTACTTCAATGTAAGGGTGAAAGGAATTTTTTGTTAGTGCCATTGTCCAGCGAAATTGTCCCCAATCATAATAAGAGATTGTATAATTGACGAGACTCTCTTTGTCCTTATGCCTTCTGGAGGATGAACCTCTACAGAAAGTCCACACGGCTTTTGAGAGATGTCCATAGTTTCAGGGAAGCCCAAACGAATCACGCCCCGCAGAATAGGCTAGAATTAACTAGAATTAAGTATTAACTCGATGGCCATAGGATCCGGACCGAGAGTCAATTATATGGGTAAGGAGCATTGCAGCGATAATGTACGATTTCAACAACACCCCGGTGCCGAACGATCCTACCATTATTCAGATGTATCTGCAATCGCAGCTGTTTCTCCTGCATAACACCCTGGTACAATCAGTTCTACGGTTCATTATATGGACTGAACTCGGATTCGATTGACTGTGGAGGTCTCTCTACGCTCTTTCGCAACTGATCGTATCACCGATGGCAACAGTAACATTAAGAAAGATGCTGTTAACAGAATTGTGAAGGTAACCACACCGGAGGTAACAGGGCCAATCTGAATCACGGTCTTAATGAACGCAATCGGAACCGATAACAAATATGATGGAACAACAGGTAGATACAAGGAGGAGGTAATCATCAAACGACTGCAACCAGTATCGAGATTCTGGACCGACATTTGGATAAACTATGGACGAAGTAGTTTGAGTCAGACGAATTAAAGTACCTAACCACAACTGCTTACACTGGGAACACTGCTACTACTACCGCCGGTGGGCATTTTAAGTCGAGTCCTTCCTATTTTTCAGACTGTAGCATTGCCCGAGTAACATGACGATATTGCAGACAAGATTCATGTTCCACTTGCCGGTTGGGTTCTTGGTTTTGGCAAACGTCTACCAGAATGACGCACGGTAGAGAACTGTCTTCTCCTGGGATGGACAGCTTCTGCCATCAGCCACCCTTATCCTTCTCGCTTTGAGTGCCATTTCCTTGAAGCGGATGACCAGCAACCAGCTCGTTGAATGTTATCACGACTTGTTTCCGTACTTGACTTGAAAATGTAAACACACAATCTCAAAAGTCATGACTGCAGGGTTGCCAAACTCATGGGTTACTGAGACTGATAGCTTGATTGCGACACTTTGGCACGTTCAGCATAACGCTTGAACTAGCTTTAGGCACAGATAAAGCACTCGAAACAGATTTGGATGTGCAGAGTTGAATACCCCTTGGAATTTTGCGAAATTAAATTTTCTCTAACTACAGGGTGGCCAGTGAATTTTTATTTTTATCCCGGTTGTTAATATTCAGCAAATATCCAACTGAGTTTTTTTTTTAATTTCCTAGATCACAGATTCAAAAAAAAGTCATTATTATGGACCCTGGAGTCATGATTGTCAAAGCTTAAAAGGCTCAGAGCAGAAATTGAAGGGTTATAACAAACTACAAGGGACAGCCTTATGAGGTTGTACGCAATGGTGACGTAGGACTACCACCCCTATTCTGATTTTCGTGCGAAACGAAATTCCTATACAAACAATTATTTTTTTGTATGAGAATTTCGTTTCGAACGAAATGCAGAATAGGGGTGTACGTGATCTTATATATGAAATCTTATTTGTCACCTGCAGCAGGAGCTTGTGTTTTGTGTAGGAATAGAAATTTGAGGGTTCTCTCTGTTTATACTCTTTAGTATAACGCGCTTGACACAGATGGCCCACAGCGACTCACGAAGAGCTACTGATTCTGATCAATAGCCGTGCGGTTTCTTCCTCCTTTTATGGATGCTTATGTAGGCTGCAGCAGAAGCTTGTGTGCTGAACAATATTGAACTCCACGCTCGAAAAGCACTACTGATGCCGACGACCAGACACCACCACACACGGTGATTGGGCTGAATCCGATCAGCGGTTGAGGGCAGCCTTGATAGCTAGCTGCTTGCGGGGATCCTTTCGTTATGTACTGGAGAACACCACCACTCACCACACGGTGATTGAATAAACACCGTTTGGTGAGGCCGGATGGAATTCAACTTTGAAATCTGTGTTAGGGAAATCCCTTTTCGCAGGCAATCAGTGATAATTTTAATTATCATAGAAAAAGTTGCACGTTCATGCAATTTTCAATAGTGACATTTTGAAAATTGATAAAGCGTTAAAACATTTTTGATCGGTTGGTGATAAAATCATTAAAATTGGTCCAGGGGAAGCTGACTTATTACGGTTCAAAATCTTTCATAATGTTGTTACATGTTCCATTTTCGGTTTTCACAAAGTGTACCCTCATATAGAAATCACAGACGTAGTCCTACGTTAAAAACATACTGAGGAGGATTCCCACATAATTTTGGCAGGAAAGGTGCTGAACAGAATTCCACATTATTCTGATATGAAGTCCAAAGAAATTGTCAGATGAATCTGGAGGGATTTCTGATGAGAAGGAACGAAGTTCTAAATTTAATTCACAGGTAATTTAAGAAGATTTCAAAAGGAGTTGTGAAGGAAACTTCAAGATAAATTCCTACATGATTCTGAAGAGAATTGTATCGGGATTGTTGTGTTGAAAATGAGAGATGAATTTTAAGGATTTCAAGAGAATTATAATAAAATTGATTCCATAAAATGGGTGTAAATTCGAAAGAAATGTTTAAAAATGGACCAAGGGATTTTTGCAGAAAGTTTCGAGAGTATTGATTAGTTTAAAGAAAATTTTGAGAAAAATTAATAATGAATCGACATCTGAGAAAAATTCCAATCAATTACACGAGATATAAAAAAAAATCAATGAATTTTCCAAAGGCAATTTTAAGATTCTGGTTTCTTGGAGAGCTGTCTGATTAGTTTAAAAATAATTCCATTATATTTAGAGCGGAATTCCAAGGTTTTTTCCCAGGAATCCAAGGTTTTTTTTTTCCAGTTTGCCTGGTGAAAATAAAATCCCGGCTATTTCCCGGTTTTCCTGGATGAATTGCCACCCTGTAACAAGATATTGAAGGAATCATCGAGGAGGAAGGATATCGAGTTACGAAGGTATGTTTTGTAATTTTTTAAGAGGAAAATCGTCAAAGAAGCCCGTATTTCCATCGAGTTAGGAAGAGATCGAGAAGATCTTAGAAGTCAAGAGAAATTCTTAAAAGTATAACAGAACATTATTTTATTTCTAAGAACTCCACTATTATTCGCTTTTAAATAAAATAAATTTAAAAATATCCAAAGGAGACATTTTACCATTTTTTTTGATACAAATTTGTTGAATATTTTTGTACCGTGTACCTATATATTTTTCTCCAAAGGACAGATATTTTCCCACAGTTTTTTCTTCATCAAAATTTCGATTATAAGATACTTTTTCAATTTGAATTATTGTTTATAATTAGAACTACGCAAAGTTCCTTAAAATTCGGAAAACGCAACTCCTGAAAATGTGAAATCTGTCTTTAAGGATCAGGATATCATTGAAGAAGACGAACAAATTTAAAGCTCCTTACTACTAATTACTTCTTGAATTAAATCATACCTGCAATAATTTAACTTATTTCAAAAATACCTAAAATCTTTAATTCTATCTTATTCCAGATAAACAACAAAAACACGGCCAACTGTAAGTATACAACATTGACTCTATAATTCTCTAACTCCATAAGTCTGAACACCACAACTATGTACTCATCCCAAAAATCTATTAAACGTTGTCCATTTTCCGACCACACAAAAATTGGCTCAAATTAGCCTCTCATCCACGAGGAACTGCTTAGTAGGGTGCGGTTCATTTTTCGAATGCTCATGAAACCTAAAACTCCTTCCTTTTTTACTGGCTCAAAATGGCTTGGAAAGATATGCCCTCGAGCATGAAGCAAACATATTTAGATTTAGAGGTGGCGAAAATGACTTGAAGGTGAGTTTTTGGCCTCTAATAAATTACTTTTACTAAAGTCATCGTAGCTCTATCATTAGTCAATTAATTTTTTGATCTCTGATTTTGCACCAAAGAATTTACGTTTAACGTAGATTTCCTCTATTTTTTTATTAAAATAAAAAAAATATTTAAGCTGCCATAACTTTGTCATTTTTTTACCAAATTTGAATCTTTAGAAACCGTTATTGATCGTACAAAAAAAAAACTTTCAGGACAAAATATGCGCCTCTGAAACAAAATTCTGACATTGTTGTCATTTTACTGATGTTTCATTTTGCGCGATAGTGTTCATCGTCACCGAGTATGAATGAACGTTGATGATCTTGGTGGTGATCAAGGTGTAGCATAGCGGTATGTGGCAATAAAAAGGGTTCAGTGGCCTAGTGACGACTGTTTCTGCATACTGAACAAAATAAAATGGGTTCAATCCAAGGCTCATTCACACAACACAGATGCTAGCTATATTGTTTCTTAACACGATCACATGATTTAACAAATCGATTCCGTTTGAATAGTTCCATGTCATCGGGCAATGGTTTGTTGTGATGTAAGGAGCTTGGTGCCCTGGTAGCAACTGTTTTTGTTTACTGAGCAGAAGATCGTGTGTTAAATCGCAGGCTATTTTATCATATAACTATGTTTTTATTTGTAACAAAACGTAGAAGGGATAGCGGCCAGTGGTGTAGTGGTAAGCGTGATTACCTCTCACCCCAGTAGACCTGGGTTCAATCCACCTCGGCGCCGCCGGGATGTTCTGAGGCATAACAGCTCTGATCACACCTTCCTTCGGAAGGGAAGTAAAGCCGTTGGTCCCCGGTTCATGAGTTGATGGGTCGATAGGTAGGGTCCTTTATTCTTTATTTAATCTAATCAATTTGAATAGTTAGCAATCGATTTTACTGAATCCAGATCCTAACCTTGATAAGTCAAACCCTCAACCACTGTTCTATCCCAACATTGTTGTCTTTTGTGGCCAGATTCTTCTTAAACCAAAACCCCGTATGCAACACATCAAATCACATGCCAATTAGTGAGATTTTTTTTAAGTTGCAGGAACTTATTTATAGTTTCCAAAATCTGCCAGATCAGACTTAAAGATCCCTTTATTTTCCTGAAATTCTCGGAACTTCCACGAAATTTACGTAACTTCTGTAAAGATTTTTAAGCTTTTGTGAATTCTTTCGACTTCCCTGAAGTTCTCCTGACTTCTATGAACTTTCAGAAATTCCCTGGACTTCCCTGAATTCCACAGAACATCTCAAAAGTTCCCACTATTTTCCTGAGGTTAATGGAACTGTCTTGAAGTTCTTTGAGCTTCCCTGCAATTTTTCTAAAAATCTCCAAACTTTTTTGGATTTTCCTAAAATTACCAAAAACTACTAGATGTTCTCGGAACATCTCTTCAGTTGCCTCGATTTTCCTTATTTTCATGAATCTTCTCTGACGTTCCTGTTATTTTTCTGGAATTCTCTGGACTTCACTGTAGTTCCCGTAATTTTGTAGTAATTTTCTGGCGTTTTCTTAAATTCATTGGAGTGCTTTGAACTAAAATTATCAGGATTTCTCTATGGTAAATTTTCCTGAAATTCTTCATTCAAATAATTTACGTTGCTCCGAGATTGCCACTGCAGCTCTAAAAATTTTATTGAAATTCATGAATTTATAATATGTGTATGAATAGATTTTTTAACAAAATTCTTAGCTCCTCTGGAGTTATTTTGACTAGCCTACAGACCTGCAGTTCCCTTTTCTCTTTTTTTTTTTTTCATCAAGATCTTTAAACTTCCCTGAACTTCTCTGAACTTCCCTGAAGTTTGTTTTTCCTTGATTTGTTTTTCGTACTGAGTACCAATGCCCCCACACCTGAACCCTACCTATCGACCCATCAGCTTATGGACCGAGGACCAACGGCTTTACTTCCCTTCCGAAGGAAGGCGTGATCAAAGACTTTATGTCTCAGAAAATCTCGGCGGCGCCAACTGGGATTGAACACTCAGGCCCTTTGGGATGAGAGGCAATCACGCTTACCTCTTAACCACCAGTGCCGCTAGCCTGAAGTTTTTGGAACTTGCCTAATGTCCCGGTAATCATCCATGTATGGAACTTTCCTGAAGATCACGCAAACTTTCCAGTTATCGGAACATCTCTAAAATTAGTCCCGTAGTCCCTCGAAACTTCTGGCAAGTTCCTACAACTTCATAAAATTAATGTAATTGTTTTATAGTTATCTGATCTCCCAAAGTACTTCTCTACAGTTAATAGAATTACCCTTAATTCCTCTAAACTTCTTAGGACTAGTCTGAACCTAATGAACTGCCTAACTGAAACTAATGAAAGTTCTTTGAACTTTGCTGAAGACTTAGTTTTGCATTTTTCTTTTCTAAAGCATTAAAAATTGCTCTGAAGTTTATGGAACTTCCTATAAACTGATTCCGCATTCTCTCGATGTTCCACTAATTTCTTGATGCTCTCGGAACTCGGCTGAAGTTTTCGAAAATTTGTTGAGGTTCTCGGAACTATTCACTAAAAATTCCTGCAAACTACATGAAGTTAATGGAACTGCCCTGAGGTTTTGTATGCTCCCAGATGTTCTTGGAGTGTTCTCGCAATTTTCCTACCTAGAAATTAATCAAACTGCCTTAAAAATCATTCCTTTAGTTCGCTGACCTTCTGTTTAATTTCAGATTTATTACTGAAGTTTTATAAAATTCTCAACTCACCCTTATAGGTCGTTAACTACCCAAACATCAGGACTTTCTTAAGTTCTCAAAATTTTCCTGAAGTTCCGATAAACTGCCCAAACGGTCTGTAAGCTTTCTGAAGCTCATTCAACTGAGGATTTCTGTGACGTTGTCTGAACTTCCATTAAATTCTCTAGAGATTCCTGAAATTCTCAGAACTTCTTGAAAGTTTCTGTATCTTATCTGACGCTAATGAAAGCGCCTTAAATTTTTCGAAATTTCTCTGAAGTTCCTCAAACATCGCAGAAGTTTTCTGAACTTCCCTAATATTCCAGTTGTCAGTTGATGAAACTTCTCTGGAATTTTTGGAATTTACTTTCAATCCTAGTAACTTCTATTACGATCCTACAATTTTCGTAAAAATAATGGGACTGCTCTGAAGTTCTACATGCTACCCTGAAGTTTTTGGAACCTCGGATAAGTTTTCGCAATTGCATGATAATGTTCTTGAAACTGCCCTGAAATTAATGGAATTTTAATAAAGATCCCTGAAGTTCTCTAGACTTTTGTGAATTTCTTGGAACTTCTGCGATGTTTCTGAAATTTTTCTGAAGATCACTGAGCTTCCCTGGACTTCTTGAAACTTTTGGAAGGTTTCCACTATTTTCCGAAAAAAAAATAATGGAACTGTTCTAAACTTTTCGAAATTTTCCTGATATTCAATGGAACATTCTGTACTGAAGTTCTCAGAACTGCTTAAACTTTTACGTAGCTTCTTAACAGATCTCTGAAGTCCCTGATCATTTCTAGAAACTTTTAAGTTCCTGCAATTTTCCTGAAGTTATTGGAACTGCCCTTACGACACTTCCTATGTCGTTTGTCCTAGGACGTTTGCTAGTAGATAGGATAGGGCTTAGGATACGTTTGGTAACCGTTATTGGCAATTTATCAAAGTTACCTTCTTTCTACTCTGATGGAAGCAAAACATTTGTCATTTTCAGGTGGCATTTTTCATTTTTTTTTTATTATAACTAGGGTCGGTGCAATATTTGTACATCCTTCAAAGCACCGATTAAAAAGTTCAGTTGTCTACACAAAAGTGCATGTGCATGAGGCGGCCCAACAAAAATCAAATTGTTTGTACCTGACGGGCGATTGGCTTTGAATCTCGAAGGGGGTTACGGTAAGGACTTTCGTGTCTGCTATCTAACACCGCGTTAGAAAGTGTGATCAGAAGAGCTTGAATAGACACGAGTGGCACGATCTTCAGGAAGTTCATCCAGCTTCCTGGCTTCGCCGATGACATTGACATCATGGCACAGAACTTTGAGACAATGGCGGAAACGTAAATCAGACTGAAGGCTGAAGCAAGGCGGATTTGACTTGCCATCAACGCATCGAAGACGAGAGGACGAGGTTCTAGGGAAAACAATGTTAGCCTCCCACCCCGAGTTCAGATTGACAGTTAAGAAATCGAAGTGGTCGATGAGTTCGTGTATTTGGGCTCACTGGTGACCGCCGAAAATGACACCAGCAGAGAAATTCTAAGACGCATTATGATAGGGAATCGTGCCTACTTTAGACTCCGGAGGATGCTCCGGTCGAATAAAATTCGCCGCCGCACGAAGTTGAATATCTGGAAGACGCTGGTTAGACAGGTGGAGGACCAACACACTTGTTGTTTGCGAACGGAAGGTGTTGCGTACCATCTATGATGGAGTGCAGATTGATGACGGAACGTGGAGGTGGCAAATAAACACCTATTCACGGCTGCTGATTGACCTTCATCTCTTTTTCCCTTTTATTTTCTATTTTTTAAATTAATTTATTTGTACCGACTCAATGAAAAAAAGCTTTACAGAGCCAAATTATCATCAATTAATGTCTTAAATGTAGAGTTAAAGGAATTGAACTCGCGGTCGTCTCGAGGTTAGTGGAGATTTACAGTTCGATGGATGAGGTAGGGAGCAGGAGGTTTTGAAATATGATTTACGATACAAATAT